GCAGGAAAGGCCAGACACGACACTTATGTTGCATGTGTGAATATTATACAGAGTATAATGGTTGGTTAATATTATATTAAGATTTTGACAAACTCCAGCCGATTTCGCTGTCTGCAATTCTGCTATAGCTAATTTATATATCTGGTTGGAATTTATATAAGATTTTGACAAACTCAAACCAGTCTGCCCAGTCTCGCTGTCTGAAATTCAGCTAGTCGCCTACCTAAATATGTCTCAAAATATATTTTGACAAACTCAAACCAGTTTCGGTGTCTGAAATTCAGCTACCTATCTCTAGTTGGTATTTATATATGATTATTTTGACAAACTCAAACCGTTTTCGGTGTATGAAATTCAGCTACCTAACTTATCTCCATGGTATTTAGTCTATATATGATTTTGACAAACTAGCTCAAACCGTTTTCGGTGTCTGAAATTCAGACACCTAATTTATCTCTGCATGGTTGGCATTTATATATGATTTTGACAAACTCAAACCGTTTTCGGTGTCTGAAATTCAGACACCTAATTTATCTCTGCATGGTTGGTATTTATATATGATTTTGACAAACTCAAACCATTTTGGGTTTCTGAAATTCAGACACCTAATTTATCTCTGCATGGTTGGTATATTTATATATGATTTTGACAAACTGCAACCGTTTTCGGTGTCTGAAATTCAGACATCTAATTTATCTCAGTCTGCATGTTTGGAATTTATATAGGATTTTGACAAACTCAAACCGTTTTCGGTGTCTGAAATTCAGACACCTAATTTATCTCTGGTCGGTATTTATGTATGATTTTGACAAACTCAAACGGATTTCGGTGCCTGAAATTCAGCTACCTTATTTATATTTATATCTGACAATGGTTGGTATATTTACATATGACAATCCGAAACCAGTGTAAGTCATGTAAGTATGAATACTGCAAATATGCACTTTAGCATTAATGATTTCAGAATGGTATTTCTTTTAGATAAAAATGCTGAAATGAAATACTATTTTTGTTACTTTTTCTAATTTTTGCAGGAAAAAAAATAGCTTGGAATTATTGAAAATAGTTTGGAACGCGTATATATATATATATATATATATATATATATATATATATATATATATATATATATATATATATATATATATATATATATATATATATATATATGTACTATTTAAAGCACGCGTATAGGAGTGTTTTATCATATTTAAAACGCGAGGCGCGGCCGAGAGTTTTAGATATGATAAAACACGACTACAAGTGCTTTAAATGGCTTAAACTTCGCCATGTTCTCTACAGTCTACCTATTTTTGTATATGCTCAAATTGAAACGGAATCATTGTGTTCACATTGATAATATTGTGTGCAAAACTTAATAAATAAAATAACATGAAATATACTAAATAACATGAAATATATTTATAAAAATATCAAACAAAATTCTCATTAATACTATTGAAATTTAAGTATAGGTAATAGCATGGTTTCGAGTGCAATTTAATTTAACATGTACGAGTAACTTTTTCAAAGACTTCAAAATAGCACGAGTCTGAAGGACGAGTGCTATTTGAGGTCTTTGAAAAACTCACGCGTGCATGTTTACCCAAATTTCACGAGAAACCATGCTATTACTTATTAATAATTTACATAAAAATGTTCGAGACAATTGTAGTTTTAACTTACGCGTTTATCGCGAACATTCCACTGGCAAAGTTTTCCTGGCTTTGTTATATCACAATATACAACGCTAACAGATTGAAAATTCCGCTCAACAGTGTAAGTTTTGCTAGTCTTATTTAAAGTAAAGGCTTTTCCATTTAAAAATAATGATAAAAGCCATATTTTCCACGCGAAGTCAACTTTTACTTTAAGTAGCGCGGCGCCATGTTTGTTTTGTTTTGAAGCAATTGTGAGCGGTGACTTTAAACTGCTGTGAGTTAAACTGCTTTAAACTGATTGGTTGATTTTATCATCACAATGTTTTTCCACCAATCAGATCAGTTTGTTACATATTTTTGCACTGTTGTTACAGATTTTTGCACTGTTGTTACAGAATTTTGCACTGTTGTTACAGATTTTTGCACTGCTGTTTAGGATTAAATGCACTGAAGCCAACCAATCACAGTCGAATAATATTTCTAGGTATATTATTATACAACGAAATAGCATTCTACGTCGATAATTTCAATCATAGTTTAATAATTATTTTCAATGTATAGTAATTCACCATTTCCATGCTTTTTTATACTTTCAATAAAGCTACAATAAAGCTAAATTTGTAGGAAATAACATTATTAAGTTATAAAATAGTAGAAAAGGAAGTCTGACAGTCGATCGCTTTCGATAAAACCTTGACATTGTTTATATATATTATCGTCGCTTCCAACTAACGATGAACAGTCGCTCATAAAAACATTGCCTATTCGCAATAATCGCGTGAGAATCTTAAGTTTTCTTATTTTGACATAATAGCTATTTTTCAATAAATATATTGATATTAACTTTATCGAATCAATATTTTAAGTTTCAGGCCAGTTGTACCAAAAATTATAAGCGGTAGCGCATCATAACCAGGGCACAGAATGGGTCATACAAAAGCGCGATTTCTTGGTTTTTCCTATGATTTCCCAATGCTTTTGGCGTGACCGTAATTCGTCATCAAAATGCTGACGCCATGGTCCTGGCTGGTGCGCTTTTGGGAGGCATTCCACCCCCTGATAATATTCAAAATGACGGACGTCCAGGGGAATGCCTCTTGGGCGCGCACTGGCTGGGACCTGGCAGCGGTTATTCGAATCGACCTTCTGTGTGTCTTTGTTCTATGCCAGGGGGTGACTGCTTCTGTTTACGGTACTTGCCGAGTGACGAATCATGACGAATAGCACTTACGCAGAAAACCATGGAGATGGATTTCTGTATAGTACCGTAAACCTCCGACTATAAGCCCTGGGCTTATATACTTTCGTAAGCGATTTTTGATGGGCTTATACAAGGGGGGGCTTATATACGGGGGGCTAATACATGGCGATCTTTTGTAACTAGTGATAAACAAGTCAGACATAAACAAGTCAGTCATAAACAGGAAAATAAACATGTATTAATAACGCATGTATTAATAAACATGTATTAATAATGTACGCACTGCGTACCTATTTTTACAAAATGTGTTTTCAGAATGCTGAAAAAGCCATTTCCAGGATTATTTCCAGGACGAGCCAACCCCCCCCCCCCCCCCCATAAAGTTTTGTACTCAAAAGGACAAGGCACGAACTGGACGTTAAGGGTAAGACCACTGCAAGGTTCCTCTCCTCTTGTATAAAACTTAGTCCTATATAATTTGTAATCTTTACAACATGAGTATGACAGACACAAGATCTCGACAATACATAGATCGCGCGAAAGACTGGGCCGAGTGAACTCTGGAATAACCATTGCACGTCAAGAATAGATTGCTGCCTCGCAATAAGGTGATGCGAATGTTATGTGTATGGGTCAGATATATTACAACTGTTCCTGGTTAGGTCTAAAGGCCCGTTTACACTTGCAATTTCTAGTGCGATTTTCTTCTTCTGATGGATGTGAACGAGTAAATAAGTTATGAATGGTCTCAGTATTTTTGTGGTTAGCACTTTTTTCCATCCAGCAAACCGCCCTATCGATTTTGTAAAGTCGTTTCTTTTTGGATTTTTTCATTAATTCGGTTAGGGTTAGAGTTAGGGTTGAGGTTAGGGTTAGGGGTTAGAGTAGGGGTAGGGTTTGGGTTAGTTACATAGCCATTTAACACCAGCGAAAATGACGTCAGGTCAGTTTGCTGGATGGAAAATAGTGCTAACCAGTATGGGTACCCTCATCTGAACATTCATACTCATCCACTCGTTCACATCAATCAGAAGAAGAAAATTGCAACTAAAATCGCAGCAAAAATGCAAGTGTAAACGGGCCTTAAAGGCACAGTTCAGCCTGTTGAACGATGGTTTTTAAGGCGCATTTCAGCCTTTTAATTGAAAAAACTAACTAGGAAAATCAATTAAGCATAATTCAAGATCACCAAACTGAATGTTTTTAACATTTTAAAACATTTATACTGTTAAAAACATCGAGTTTACTGATTTTGAATTATGCTTAATGGATTTTCCTAGTTAGTTTTTTCAATTAAAAGGGCTCAAATGCGCCTTAAAAACCATCGTTCAAAAGGCTGAACTGTGCCTTTAATAAATATGTAAAATTCACACTCGAAATTTCCATCTCAACAATTAAACCTTTTATATAGCAAGCAATGCTCTGAGCATCAATGCGACCTGGACGGGTAGGAAATATCCAGAGTTCAATGGCAAACACAAGAGCGAATTGGACCGTATCATCTGTTTGCATGGAAACATAAGTAGCCCAACAATCAGTGGTATTAATTCATTTCTGTTCAATAAAATCATACTACTATTAAGTCTCCGACTGCATTGTTTACGCGCGGTCAGATCATGTATGTATACTCTACAGTATTAATAGCAATTAATACTATAGAGTATACATACATGATCTGACCGCGCGTAAACAATGCAGCCGGGGACTGAGTAGTAGTATGATTTTATTGAACAGAAATGAATTAATACCACTGATTGTCTGGCTACCTATGATGGAAAGTGAATTATGTCGCCGATGAATTTCCCATATACGGAAAACGCAACAACAGCAACAAGAACAATAGCAACAACAACTGGAACAACTGGAACAACTGGAACAACAACAACAACAACAACAACAACAACAACAACAACAACAACAACAACAACAACAACAACAACAACAACAACAACAACAACAACAACAACAACAACAACAACAACAACAACAACAACAACAACAACAACAACAACAACAACAACAACAACAACAACAACAACAACAACAACAAATAAAACGAACAAAAGCAACACAAACAACAACAGCACTGACAACAACAACCGATGCAACAACAATATTAACAAGGGAAGCGAAAAATTGTTCGAGTCTTAATATTACAGACTTTCTTTATCGTTTTTGGTATAAAAGATATTACACTTCATATATGCGTGACATCACAACCAGGATTACAATATTTTGTATCTTCAGCAATTCTCGTGACATTTTAATGCTAAATCTTTACTATTGTCCGTTTTAAATTAAATCGCAAGCTATGTATAAGCTTTCCATCGATACTATTCTTTCAGTTTAAAATGTCTACCCCGGTTGTGACGTCATTTAATTTGATCTAATCAAGATGGCGGATGGCAGGCACTCTGGTTCCAAAAATCTCAAAAATTAAGATAGTTTGGGAGAATTTGTAAAAAGAATTTGTAAATAATCTTAACATTCCTTCAAATGACTCAAACATAAATTTTGTTTCCATTTTTCTTTGAGTATCTACTGTAAATACCATTTTTAATACGGGGGAAAACCTTCATTCAAGTGCGATTTATATTTTTGGATCGTTCCAAGCTGTGCAAGTTGAAAAACTCTGCCTGGCTGTATCGCTAACCAGGTCAACTCGGCTGCCATATAAACACTGTTCAATTACGGTTATTCAATCTGTCCAAAACGGTGTTACGAACACTAAAGTGTTATTCGCTGTTTCAACAGTCTGTTTATGACTGAGCCCTCCAAAAATAAGGATCATATCTTCACAGACATTAACCGAATGAAGGGAACTTGCCGGTATTGATTTGTTGTTGCTCAAAACCGGTCGCCATGAGCACTTCCGACTCGTTTCCAGTTCACTGCAATCGAGGGAGTACATTTTCATCAGAGCCTGCGGTACACCAGTCATAAGACTAGCGGCTGCTGAGTTGACTGTTGACGTGACAGGGCTAGCGAAGACTACTACAGTTTGATCCATCATGATTGCTGGGTGTGACCAGAGTTGCGGTGCAGCGTATATGCTGTTGTTTACTGATACTTCATACCACGTCCAACTTTCGACATTTAAAAACCACACATCTGAAAACACCTGCAATTACAGTAAGTATATTTAAGATATTTAACAGTTATTCTGCGAACTCGAGTCGTATATAAGCTGATAGACGACGAGGTGCGAAGCAGCGAGTTTGCTATTAGGGAGCTTAAGATACACCAAATCTACGACGCGGACGTGACGAAAAACTGCCGCTATTGTCACAGTTTCACTTCACGGGTAAAAGCTATGGATTGTTATTGGTAAACAAAGCCAGGGACAAGAGAAAAACAAAGTAAAACTTGTCTCCCATTGTTAGCGACCAGATAGACTAAGAAATAAATGTTCTCTTAGTCAATTTAACTTGGGTGTGCGGCACCTGGCCAGTTAGATAATGAGTTTATGAAATTTTATTTATTTGACCATAGTAGAGTAATTATAATTGTATAATTGTATTGTAATGTGTTAGTCTTGTATATATATTTATCCTAATTGAGTGTAACGTTTGTATTTTTAAACCTACGCCCCTCTTGGAAATCAGCTCTTGCTGTAGGGGTTAGCGTAGACAAATAAAGTTTTTACTTACTTTACTTACTTACTTACTGTTTTTCAGCCGCGTCCGCGTCGCAGATTTGACATTTGGTGCATCTTAAGCTCCCTAAAGCCGGTTTTCCACTAGGCGGAATATTTGCGCGCGGAGTGGAATTTTTCTTTGTCTTGTGATTTCTCGGGTGGACCGCTCCGCGCGCAAAATTCCGCCTAGTGGAAAACCGGCTTAATAGAGAGTTCAAGTTCGACTTCCAATACCGATACTAACAACATGTCATGCGCATGCTCTCTGCTCGCAAGAAGCACGAGGACAAGTGTATTGGAAGTCACCACTACCGAAGTCGGCTTTGTATTGGAAGTCGGGGGAATTGTAAGATAAGCTCATATAAATCGGATATTTCATAATTTTTACGATAAACATGTAAACTATTGGTTTATTAGCATCGCCTGAGTCATGTTTTAGTCGGAATTTTAGCTCAGCTGCCGTTTAGTATACCGCACATTTTCGGCGACGATTAATGTGTTCTATACTTTATCTGTCGTGATAACTTAACGCTTTAACATTCCCGGTACCAAAATGAGAACGGAAGTGAAAACATCGGTATTGGTATTGGAAGTCGAACCC